AATTAAAAAATGTACCGAATCCCGAATGGTAAGCAATAAATCAAGAAAGACAGTATGAAAAGCTTTGTGCAAAAAAGATGTGTATTCATTGGCTCTACTGGCCGGGAAATACATGTTACTAAAAGAGAAGAAATCACAAACAAAAGATTACAAGTCTAGATTTCTGGCTAGGGACCGTCTCTTCTCCATCTTCATCTTCGTCTTCATCATCATCAGACGGGGGTTCAGGCTCTCTCCCAGCAGCCCGATCAGCTTCCCGCTGCAGATTTCGCTGGAATTTCTCAAATTGGGCTTGTACATCTTCGTCCTGGGGAAGATCAGAAGCCTGAACCGGCCTCCCAAGTTGATTCTGAAGTTGAGCCACAAAAGGACGTAGCAGGACCTGGCCGATCTTGGCATAAAGATCTGAAACAATGGAGTCATTCCACTTCTTACTCTCAGGATCCTTATCTAAAAGATCCACCCCTGCCGAGAGCCGACCAGCACCCCTAGGAAAACCCTTCAGGTAAGCACCAAACGCGAACGGGATTTGCTTCCTGGCGTAATCATCCTTGATGGTGGAGAACTCATCATAGGATTTGAATGATTCCCGGACAGCGGATAGATCCACATTCACCTCATATGGGCCGTCCGGGATGCTAGAGGGCATCTCCTCAAATTTGATCTACGCAGCCTCGGCAGCGAAGACCTTAGCCTGAGAAGCAGCAAGTTGGACCCGGAGGGTGCCAAGCTCAGTATCCAACCTCTGTTTTTCCTCCGCAAAGGCTTTCCATTCGGCCTCCAGAGATGTGATGGTAGCAGAAGCATTTTGCTTAGCAGTGGACTGAGCAACGATCAAATCCCGTTCCTTAGCCAGACGGGCCTCCCGCATTTGCAAAGTATACAATCTCATCTACAAAGCGCCGTTCGGAAGTTAGTAAATGATAACGAAGAATAAAATGAGAACGAAGCACGAAAGATAATATACCTTCAGTGCAGTCAGGGCCAGGCACTCTTCGGATTGTTCGACCGGCAGTTGGGGAAGTGAGAAATTATTAAACCACGAGGATGTTGACCAGATCTGGCTCGCGGAAGAACCAGCTTTCTCTAACACCTCATGAACAGGATCCGACAGAGAGATCCGTTCGACCTTACCAGTGATATGGTCGGTATGAATCCCGCCTACACTCGAGGTTGCGCCCTAAACGGACTCAAAGTGTTGGATAAACTGGTGCAGCTGATCAGAACCAAATCGGTCATCAATCATCATGGCATCATACTGATCCTGACTAGAAAATTGTTGAATAGGCTTCGGTTGCTGAACGGCCGGTGCAGGTTCGGGTTGTGGAGCAGTGGTAGTGGGTGAATCAACCTTAGGGTTTTTCTTCATTTTCTTCTTTCTCTTCCCGACCCCGCCAGCAAAAAGCACACGGCTGTCATCCATGGTGGCATCTGGATTGGGAGCTGAAAAATGACAAAGGAAAATGTTAGTACCGAGCGGCCTTAGCATGTGAGAAACTAGAAAAAAGAAGAGAACGTTTCTCGCAAAGGAAGGACCGCCCGGACCATGGCACTTGATTCTCAAAACAAGTAAACCCAAGAGAACGGGCAGTACCTATCCCGGCTTTAACAAGCCGATCGGGAGTCAGGTAGGTCATGATATCGCAACACTTGTCTTTCTCCACAGCAAGTACATCCTTATAGATTTCCTCAGTAAGAACTGGGTCGGGAATCTTGCGAGGGAAGGCATTCCATTTGCGAGGGATCAGCCCGTCCGGGACAGACACAAAGAAGAACCTATCTTTCCATCCCTTGATTGAGGTTGGATTACCCTTGAATAGAATATGTCCCGTTCGAGAACTGGCGGCTAGATACCCATGAGTTTGTTTGGGGGCTACTTTAAAAAATTGATGGAATAAATCTAGGGTCGGCGAGGCACCGACATCTTTGCAACGACAAATAAAGCCCGCCATTGCCCGATAGGAGTTCGGCATGACTTGGGCAGGTACAATTTCGTAAAAATTGAAAAATGAAACAAAAAAGGAGTGTAACGGAAATCTAAGCCCAGCCCTAACTGAATCAAAATGGACTACGACCATCCCGGGGGCGTGACGCAGGGGATGAAGCCCAGCTCACAACCGGGGTTAGGCCGTCCCGGCCCCGAACCAGCCCGAGTCCAAGCATATGTATAGTATAGTTTTATATAGTTTCAAACAATTTGTTTCAACTTGAGTTAACATCCCAGGGTTACATTGAGAACACCCAATTTAAAAATTATGAGGGGTTTAAAATAAAAATACACTATTTTGAAAGTAGATCCCCATTTTGAATTTCATGTCGTATCTGTTGTTTTAAGACCGTCAACATTTATTTAATATTCCCATAACACTTTAATATTATGTAATTCTGTTAATTAATTGGATTGGATATATAACAAAATAAATTTGCGTGGATCTACCGATACATCAATGAGGACAATGACAGACAAATTAGGTTAAAAAGTTTTCAGAATTACTCCCTCCATCTCGTTTAAATCTTTACACTTTCCATTTTGGGACGTCCCATTTACTCCTTTATGTTTCCTTTTTTGGAACTCTTTTTTATTTAACATGTCCAAACTACCCTTTTCTACTCACATTTTACAAAACCTCCTTTTTTCATTCTCCACAAAATCTTCAGGGCCAACCTCTTGTAGATGTGTCGTCATAATTGTGTAGAGGCAGCCATATGTAAAGCTCTACCCATTCGTTGTTGTTGCATTCATCTTGCTTTCTTCGTCATCCTCTCCAAAATATTTTGATCCAAATTCACTGATAAAATCCCAACTTACACTCTAGTCGGTTCCTAATTATCACTTTTGAAGAACAGACACTGCCGGATTCAATGGCTTTCTGATGTCGTCAACTGCTCTCCCAATTTGACCTTCTCCCAATTTGACCTTCACTCAACACTGCCCCAGATTCTCCATTGTTTTCACTTCAAATCCTTCAAATGTGCAGCATATCCTCAAGACCCGTTTCTCTACTTACCAAAAGGGGATATCTCAACATCGACGGCGGGAAGTGGAAGTTCCAGAGGAAGGTCGGCAGCCACAATTGATTTATGTTACTACCGTTTTGCAATTTATCAAAGTCTCGGGTAATTCAACAAGGCAACAAATTTATACGGAGTAGTTGCTTCAATATGTGAAGGATGTGGTGAACTATGGGAAGAAAGAAACGAATGATATCACTAAGGGCAGGATAGGAAATCTTTATCTGATATTGGTTCTCCTAAAATAGTGTGCCAAATCCAAACGTAAAGATCCAACTGGGACGAAGGGAGTATTTAGGTATAATAAAACAAACATGCACATATACTAGCTTTTAAAAACCTAGCTACCTATCTCGATCTTTAGAACAAATTGAGTGACTCTTTAATTGAAAATGACTAATGATCAAAATCTCCTTACTCTGGGCCTCTGGGGTGGAACTAGAACAAAATTAGAGGGGGCGTAAAAAAAATCAAATCGTCAGGTTGGAAAGATCTATAATTTGTACTATTTTTTGGGTATATTTACAGTAATTTGATCTCAAATCCAATGCAGAAGAGTTACTCCCATTTGTATGAAGTGACACTTTACTTAGACCTATATATAATTCGCACACAAGTGCACACATGCATATACGTATCAACTTAAATATAGACATTAATTCATTTTTATACTTGTTTTGTTAGTGCCTACACAAAATAATGGACTTTATTTATCGAATGAGTTTATTTCGATTTAGTACGATTGTCCTTTTATTTTGGAATAACATGGTTTAGAGAAAAATATAGCTAAACAATCAGAGGAAGATAAATAATATATATGAGTTACTGCCTTATAAAGAAAATTATAATTTTGTTTTTCTCTTTTTAAATCAACTGTACTTGTAGGTTATTTGATTTTTAAAAGGATATTTGTTTTATTTATGAAAATGTATTACATAAATCAAATTATTCTCATATAGTCTTTTATTTCAAATATTAACAAGAAATTTTTTATATTTGTACTAAACCAAGGGATAAATAAATAGTTATGTTAAAATTCAATTCGTTTTGAAAATTCATTGATAAAATGATATAGATCACTGTTGGAAAAGGGGTAATCCTTCACTTTCTCTCTCATTTATTTTTTTAGTTTTAATTGTCTTATGTAATATCAGGCGACATATGCAATCATCCCCACCCAAAGTCTCACACTGCTATTATTACATTTAAATAAATTTAAATAAATTTGTAATTATATTAACAACAACACATATTTTTAGTTTTTATTTTATTATACTAATAAAATGTGGAGTATTTGTGAAAGATTCAAAACATCTAGGGATCCCAAACATCTATCAATACTAGTATGTAGCTTATTAATATATAAATGTTATTTATGCATATTGTCCATCCAATTCTAAACTCATTTTGAGTTTTGTTGAAAGACCGTATATTTTGGCCCATTATTTTTTTATTTATTTTTGTAATAATAACAGAAATTTTGAATGAGAGAATTTTTTTATCATATAAATAAATTTATTCTAATATATAATTAACTATAATTTAAGTTTATTTTGTTGGTCCCGTTTACACAAGGAACAATCTAGGGGGGGGGGGGGGGGGGTGAATAGGCTGTTTAAGTTTCAAGCTTTTTGTCTAAGTCTTAACAAACTTGACAGAGAAGGTCGAGTTCTGGTGTCAGAACTGGACCTGACAGCGGATATTCTGGTAGCAGTTTTTGTTGGGTAGTCTTCAGAAATACACTAAGGCAAATGCCTTTCTGATAACTCTTAGAACAAGATCTGATGAACATAGAGTCCAAGTCTTTGGGAGTTAAGCATTTATAATCTAAGTGCAGGAAAGTAAATGCGTAAAGTAAATGATATCGGGGTTTTTATAGTGATTCAAGGAACAACGTGTTCCTCTAGTTCACTGTTCTACTAAGCTTGTAAAATAACAGTTATAATGCCTTAACCCTAGTACTTAAGAAGCTCTCCACGTCTTTTTCAAGCCTAGCTGTCACCCGAGATGCTCTTCCTGGCTTCCTGATGATTGGTCTCATTTCACTGAGTCTCCTTGAAGTATCCCCACTTCACTATTGCAGTTACTTTGAGACGTCCCTTCTTTTGCAAGAAGTGTTTCAGTTAAGAACAGTTTCTCCAACGTAGCTTCGTCACAAAGGATGTGTAGTTGAGGCTTTGGAAGTGTTGAAGAACTGGTGGACTGATTCTCTCACGTTGGAAAGAAAAGATATGAAGTTTATAATCTTTTCCAACGTAAAACTTTGTTGCTCTTGAAGACTGTGAAGTTGTGCTCTTGAGCTTTTTGAATGTATGAGTTTGAGAGTGTTTGAATCGTAGAGGAATCATTGTTCTTTCCTTAGGGTTCCAGTCCTTCGAAGTGTATCTTATATACAGGGAGTAGTCTTCCCGTTGGAGTGTAGAAGACAACTTCATTTAATGTACGCACTGTTGATTTGACCGGTTGAATTCAGTAAAGTGGTCGTCTTATTATCTTGGGGCGTATTAAATATTATCCTCTTGAATCCTTGGTCAATCATCAGCTTTAAATATCTCAACGTGTGAAGCTCATTGAATGGGCATTTAATGCATGAACAGTAGAAACTTCCGTTGAGAGGCTCCTAGCCATTAGGGAATATGCCGTTAGTTTAACGACTATTTGACGTACCTTCGAATTCTTCCAAGTGTCAGCAAGTCTGATGAGGTTCTCTGATAGTAACTCTGATGGCTGGCTAGGGTGGCAGCTCTGGTGCCCAGCTCTGGTAGCATCTCTGATGACCAGCTCTGGTAGCAACTCTGATCACCAGCTCTGGTAGCAAATCTGATCAAGAGATCCAAGAGGGTTTATGGCCAGTCGACTATGCTATTGCTTACATAGAAAAATTCTATTTCAAGATTTCTAAAGGGGTACTCTAATATCCTAATTAACTTAGCATCATCAAAATCTAAATACAATTTATTCCTTACATATTTTTTCACTAAATATTGATCGGTTTTCTTGGCATTGACCCATGACCCAGTAGGCCAGTAATGTTATCATTACTGATGCGGGTTGACCCATGAGCCACTAAATGTTGACCCGGAAAGTGACTGGTCATGGGTAAATATTTAGTGAAAGAATATACAAAAAATATGCAGTGAAACAAAATACAAAAAAACATAGTTAATTATACATTAGATTAAAATTATATGATAAAATATTACTCTAATTAATTGTTTTTAATTCTTATAAGAATAAATTAAAAAATAATGGACTGAAACGTACAACTTTTCAACAAAATTCAAAATGTGTTTAGAATTGGATGGACAATATGTGAAAATGAAAGTTATAAATTAAAATTGTAAATAATATTGATAGATGTTTTAAATTTATCCGTTGTTCTTTTTTAGTTGCGACATTCCTTTTTCACATTTACCAACGCACAACTTTTGACGACATTATATTTAGTTATGTATTAGTAAACAAATTTTAAAAATCAGATTGTGAAACTTTGAAATGAGACGAATTCAAGAATATTTTAAAAACTGCATATTATTATTGATAGATTTTTTGAATCTTTCACAAATACTCTGCATTTTATTAGTATAATAAAATAACAACAATAGTAATATTCATTTTTATTATTATAATTACAAATTTATACTCTCTCTGTCCCAATTTGATTTGCAAAATTTCCTTTTTTGGTCGTCTCAAAATGATTTTCCACTTTCTATTTTAGGTATGTAGATAAGAATAAAGTGACAAATTTACCCTTACTTTTACTTTTCTTCCATTAACTTAAAGGCATCTACTTTTAAGAAGATGAACAAAAGTGTAAAAAGCAAGCATCATTTATTGTTATTCCTTAATAATTGTGACAGTCAAAGTTTGCAATTCAATTCGGGACGAAAGGAGTATGTAATAAATTTTACGCAAAGTGAAAGCAGTCGAGTTGGTATTCCGTTTGAAGATTGTGCATCAATCTTAGCGGAAGGATGACCTGCTCTTATAGGTCACCTTCTCAGGTATGTTGGCCTACTAGACTGTTTTTGAGAGTATATGGGTTTATATGATATTTTTTACGGTACATGAGTTTAAGTAATGGATTTGCGGAGTGTATTTGAACCTTTTTTCGGTCAATGTTTGAAGAGGGAAGCAATAGTTAAATGTCATTTTTACTATTCTTTTTCTGCTCAATTTGTGAAGAGGGAAAAAATAGTTAAAGATCATTTTTACTGTTATTGTACTAAACAGAAAATATAAATAAGATATCAATATTCAAAAAAGTAAAAAATATATATTTTGAATTGGAAAAATAAAAAATATAAAATAAAAGTAGAAGAAATCTGGGGTGATAGGAAAGAATCCGATCCTTCATAAATGCAGAAATAGAGATGGAGAAAAAGTAGGCCAATCCTATATTTTTAGGAGTGAAATTAATGAATGATTTAATCAAAATTAATACACTGACCTACCAATTATAATCGTGCGTGCCCCAAAATCGATAGAGGAAGAAAATACTCCATGGGAAGCAGAGGTCCATAGAATCGATGAGAATGTTCTCTTTCCTCTGAGTGCAATGATTTTTCAATGATGTCATTGATAGATTGCACTAAATAGTGTTGTGCGATTCTTTAACTTATAAAATACATGCCGTCAATTAGTTTTTATTACATTTTTAAGATCGGATCGATAATATACACGGTGATTAAGGTTGAGTGTGTGTGTAATTCATGAATTATTGGTTGTTTATGTAATACAATAGCATGGCAATAAGTGTATTACATTGCACTAAATGAAATACTTGATTGCACTGAATGAAAACAATTCATCACCATTCCATTAATTCAGTGAATTATATAAAGTATTAGCAAAACGCTGGCATTCACTGCATTCTGGCAATATCGGATGAGCTCTGGAAATGAATGTTAGACACCCACTCGCCATCTATGTTCATCAACACACGTATGTGTAGAGATTGGTTTGGACTTTGGAGAACAAAAACATCAATGACGTCCGAAGAAGAAAGCATGTGAAGAAGACGTAAATCGTTGGACGAAAAAAATGTTGAAGACGTGATGGAATGAAGATGATACAGTTACATACGGAGAAGTGGGTTGTTAAATAAATGTAAAAACAGTTTTGGTATAAAGATGAGAAGAATTAGGAGTGTATTAATTACACAAAATACTTGACGCATCAAAGCATGGATGGGTATATACGGAATAAAAAATTCAGCCATATGGGGGTTGTATGAGTGCCATTGCTAGTGACATAAATCAAGAGAAAAAAACATTGATGTCATATTATGGGAAACACTAGGAGTTCTAGTAATACTAGGGGTAAATATATTTCTCTCTCTATATATATACACACACACACACTATGACCTCCGGTGAACGGGGGTGGCACCGGCTTGCCCCTTAGTTTCGCCCCGAACTTGCTACTAAGTTAATACTCCCTCTGGTCCTTAATTAACTTTACACTTTCCTTTTTGGGTCGTCCCATATTAAATTTTACACTTCCTTATTTGCCTTATTTTACAAACAAATCTACACCAAACAGTGCCAAACAGTGCCTTATGTGTGAAGTCAAAGTGTAAATTTCATTAAGGACCGGAGGGAGTATATTTACAAGCTCGCGTCCGTTGTCTTGTTTAATGTATGGGAACTATCTATAGTTTTAAGGGAAATTATCCTAAATATGAGTAAATGAGGTTTGGAATTCCAAAATAGTACTACTATATTTTTCTTCCCAAAATAAGAGTTTTTACTAGCATGTATGAAAAATAATGCCATAATTAAAAAATACTATCATTAATTATAATAAATATTGTTATGTTAAATGCACTGAACTGCAACTATTTGACAGTCACGCCTACAAGATGACAGTAAATACTGTCATGTTAGTCCTATTTCGGGAATAAAAACATAGTAGACCTATTTTGGAATTTCAAATTCCATTTACTTCTATTTCGGGAAATCTCCCTAAGAATTTCAACCAAAAATCATTTATAATCTAATCTCCTGAATTCTTTATAGAGATGGGGAAGAACTTGGAACTATTCCGAACCAAATAAATGTGGGGTCACATGTCACCCACGACCGACTCACCCCGGGTATCCCGCGCAGAATACATTGGTCACATGCCACCAAAACCCATCCGGTAACTCTGCCCCCTAAACCACCGATAGAAATTGAATTTCTACTTAAATGTGAACACCCTCTAAAAGAGATTCTAATCCCTTCCGAGTTGTAAGAAATCCAATTAGTCGTGATAGGGTTTCTACCACTACGTACTTCACAAAGTAACAAATCACTACTCTTATCAAATTCTGAAGGAGATGTTTACATTCAAACATATCCAGGTTGATAAAAGGAGCAAAAACAAAGAAAAATTCACCATCAAATAGTAGTAGCCCTAGACCGCTCACCAAGACCCCTACATTTGTCGGGATGTAGAAACTGACAACACTGACTAATCCAGGGTGTTCATAATTCAGAAAATCATTGCTCGTAATTTATTAAAATTATTTGATCTCAAACCACCTCTCCAAAAATAGTATTTAGTGCCATTACCAAAATAATCCAATTAGAGTATTTCCAAACTCATAATATATTTGTATATAAATACACGAGCAAAAGATCTTAACCTAATTTAGTTCACACCAAAACAATTTCAACAATATTCCAAATCAAAATAACTATTTCACAAAAATCCCAAATTCGGTCATAACAAATCATTTTGATTAATTTACCCAAATTCGTACATTCAAAAATTCCCAAAAAATTATTGATCATTATCACCGACATTGTAACACCGCCCCCGAGTATTTGTACTGTACCAAATTATGTATTGAACCTTGAAGAAATGTATAAAAGCATTTTTACGTGATTGTAAATTTTTATCATTTCTGTTACGTGAATAGTAAAATTCACGTGGGGCCCACACCGGATGTGGGGTGGCCCGATATTATCGGGACCACATATTATATTAATCTTGGACTAGATAATATGTATATGGTGGTGGATATCCTAATTGGGCCATGACAATGGCACAAGGTTGACCGGTTGGTCAAACGGGCCAAATTATCGGTATCGGCAATTTATGAGATGACAGCCCAAAAAGGGATTTCGGAGACTTCTAAATTAAAGTTGGGGAATGAATATTGATTCTAAGGTCCAATAAGGATTGGAAACAAGTATTATATTTTATTTGACCCGATAAAATAAAATATAGTTAAAACAGTCCGGAAAATACAACTTTCGGGACCGATTGTACACTCGGGGACACAAAGGGTTGACCTCCCACATAAGTGGGGGCCAACCCACGAGTATACCTCATCAGAGTGAGCTGGGAGGCGTGGAAAATGGATGGAGGTGGGAGGAAGTTGGTTTGAGATGATTGGCATCATACAAAAACTTGGGGGGGGGGGGAGGGGGGGGGGGGGGCTTCCCATCACTTATTGCCCAAATGAGCCAAAAAGGGTACTCCTACCCATCCCCCTCCCACC